TGACTTCCTGGAGTCTGACTACCTGGAGGAGCAGGTGAAGGCCATCAAGCAGCTGGGAGACCATGTCACCAACCTGAAGCGCCTGGGAGTGCCCCAGAATGGCATGGGAGAGTACCTGTTTGACAAGCTCACCCTGGGGGGGAGCAGCTGAACTAGTTACTTCTATGGCTTCTTGTCATGCTGGCTGTTATGAATCTGAATAAAACTTGACTTTCAGTTGCAATCTGGTATCTGCCCCATTTGTATGAGGGGGAGGGGGGGGTTTGGCCCTTAGCAGAGGGTGCAGGAATTCAGATGGAAAAGGCAGGATGAGGAATTGTGTTCCCCTTGCTAGCAATCATGCAGTGTAGATCTGAACTTGGGTGGTGCTTTGAGTAGTGTATGCTCTACAGTGGGTAAAGCAGGTGTAAAGGAGAAAAGACTGGGTCTTGATGTAAGAAGTGGTTTAGAAAACTAACCCTCCCTAGACTTGCCCTGGCACGGATATTGGCAAAACCAGGCCCTCTAAAAGCCATCTCATGCATTTAGTTAAAATTGCAACAGCATTCAAACCATGTTAGGCACTCTTTCAACATACTTCCTACAGAGCCCTAGGCTCAATTCCAGTATCTCTAAGCAACAAGAAGAGCTGGCCCAGTAATACTACACATGCCCTTGAATTTCCTCCCTCTCCTAGCCTAACCTGCTTTTAGATTAGAGGCAATCCTTTTAAAACCCTTGATTCAACCTCTGTGGTTTGGTATCCTATACTTACTCTGGAGTAATAAGTACTTGAATAACACAGGGGTGGGGGAACCCATGTGGATGGGGTAAGAATCATCATATTAATTCCAAGTCACTTTTCCACATTACTTAATGATTTCCAAGAGCATATTTTAGGAGTAGAAACTCCTCCACCTCCTAAGTTATGACCTATGACCAGGTTGTTGCTCCAACAAAATGACTTTTTCCAACAGAGGCTAGCATGTCTCTCTCAAAACACCCCTCATAATGGCAGTAAATGTGGACCTCTTTTCTTCCATCTCTGCACATCAAGTGGAGTATATAGATTTGTTTGCTCCTGAAATCAGGCTACAGTTTTGTCTGGCAGCTTGGGAATCACAGTGGGGAGAGTGGTGAATGGGAATTAAGACTGCTTAGTGTCTGAAAATTGTTAATGTAATCATTTCAGCTTTGCATGGTGACAACCACTGTAAGCAAAACTTCAATTGCTCTTCCCAAATACCTGCTTGAGGTGGCCCTATAACATGGGGGTCACATGAATATTCATGACAGAGCGCTAATAGGTGAATAGCGACCTTGGCTTTGAGAAGTATGGTAGGATAATATAGGGGTTCTTCCTGGTTTTCCTTCAGAGGAGTGTGTGTATAAATTTAAAAAAAAAAAAGTGAGGGGGTAAGAAGACCTCACGAATTTCACAGTAGTCCCCCAATTGTTCCAGCTGCTTGTATGAGTTTCCCTTTCCCACACATGTCCACTCTTGAAAACTATTACTGGAGCAAGACCCTTTCTTCTGTCTCCCTAGTCTTCATTTGTATGAATGAGGTAGGTAGAGAATCAAGAGGTATAACATACTTGTTCTTAATGCAGGTGGGCTAAGACATTTCTGTGAAGACATCATGGGATCTTGGAAAAAGAGATTTAGATTAACCCAAAGAAACAGAGCGGGACCTGAGCAAAATGTAAGGCAGACTGTGTCTGAACTTCCTGAAAATCAATTTTGTGATGTCATCTGAGCCAATACCATGTACTAAGAGAGCAGAGTGTCAACGTGATGATTTTGTTTTGTATGATTTGTGTGTGTGGTGAAATAACTTAAAGAAAAAAAATGGATAAAGGGATGATTTTTAGCAGACCAGCAAATACATTGCAATTAAAGGACAACTGCATGATATGCCCACTGTGACACTGGCAGAGTAAGTGACAACTCAGGTTGAAACCCCAGGCCAATTCATTTGTGTATTAGTATAGAGCAAAGTGATGATTGTTAAATGTACAAGAGTGTATTTGGTGTTTTAATGTCATGAAAACTAATGGGATGTTACTTGTATTGTTTTCATTCATCTATATCCTGTTGCAATGTAGTAGCAAACATTTACATTTTGTAAATGTAAATTAATCACCCATCCAGTGAGAAAGAAGCCTTGTGGAATGCAAATGAAGAACTTTAATAGAAAAATGTGAACTCCAAGGCAAGTGGTCATTGTGTGTGTGGAGTGAAGGTTAAAAACTCAAACTGCATTCCTCACTCTCCATCATTAAAGGAAAATCCCATGAGGGTAGTGACACTGTCAGCTTGTTTTCTGCGAGCTATAAGTATGGATTCAAGGAAGGATCCTGCATCTCTGGATTGTTTGGACTCTTACAGGGAAGTGAACTATATGCAAAGCGCAGATCCCCAGAGACAATCTGGGTACTCTGAAAAGACTTTTGGGAAACTGGGTTTATTACATCACTGCCACCATTTAGAATTTTAGGCTGTGATTCACCTGTACATATAGGTTACCTGCTTTAATCTCTCAATAACTCTCATTTCCTTTTCTTAACTAATAAACATTTAGGTAGTTTACTAAACTATATTTAGTATATATATTTATATTTATATATAGTTTACTAAACTATATAAACTATTTACTATAGAATTGCCTGCCAGCATTGTCTTTGGTGTAAGATCTAGAGTGCCAATTTATCTGGGGTAAGTGACTGGTCTCTTGGGACTAGAAGCAACCTAACTGATGTGATTTTTGGTGTAACTAATCATTTTATCATAACGTCCAGTTTGTTTGGGGGGCAAGATAGACTGGAGAATCGAAGGGGACTGCCTGGGATTCTATGGAAAAGACTGTTCTAGTGATCAAGGAGTTCACATTTGTTACTGGCTTGGTGAAATCTAATTATAGAACAAGCCACGAGCTTGGGGTGTCTGCCTGGAGGTAGGCACTCACAGTTGTGAGCCACTCCTGACCGTGATATCCACCACATAATCTGAAGGTAATGTCTACTAAAGTAATGCGTTTACCCTGCATTTACCCATCTTTCCGCTTCCAGTTTTGGCCTTTCACTATTCCCAAACACTGGGAAAAGCCATAGTGTTTTACCTTTTGCAAAACTTTGTCAGTCCAGGTTTGGAATTGGGACACATTTTATCGGGGCCCCAATGTGAGGTTACAATTTTCTGGTATTAGCCCAAGTGTAAGTTACAGTAACAAATGGTGAATGTCCTATACCAAAATCCATCCCGCTCCCCCCACAGCATAAAGGGGGACAATATAAATATTAGCTTTCATTAGAAAAATTCAGACAAAACATTTTTGTCTGAATTTGCTGATTTGTCTAAGTGGAAATGTTTTGTGGAGATCGTTCAGTTTCAGTGAAGCTCTGATGTAACCCAGGCAGTGGTACAACATAACCCAGGCCACTTTCTTGGCAGCTCAGTGGCCTGCGAGGCTGGCTCAAAGTCAGGGACCTCAGGGTTTCTGGGGTCTATGGTTCTAGGGCAGCCCACTAAGGGGGCTGCTCCAGAGCTGGGACTGTGATTTGCTTTTACTTCATAACAGATGACAAAGTTGTAGCACAATTGATGTAATACTTATAACTTCACATGCTCAAAGCATAGCATGTTCAAAGCATTTTACCTAATTATCCTTGATGTACCCCTGGTGGAGTTCAGTCCATTTTATCCCCATTTTATAGATGACAAGCTGTGGAGTGCCTTGCACAAGGCCAGACTTCTACAGACACTCCTGAGTTTAACCTTATGCACATGAGCTGTCCAACCAAAGTCAATAGAAATATTTAAGTGCTGCGAGTTAAGCATGAGCCTGAGTGTTTGCAAGATTGAGGGTATAGTGAATCAGGCCCTGATCCTATAATGAACTCCCTATTATTATTTTTATTTAATTGCATCGGTGCCCACAATGTGCTAGGACATTTGCACAGTCCCTATGCAGAGGCGCTCACGGTCTAAGGGATTATCTGTTTTAGAATGAGTCAGTGTTGGAACCCAGGAGTTCATGACTCCCCTTGCAAGGTTCATTCTGGTAGGCCACACTAGCCCTGTGACATTTTAGCACTACATGTACACACAGCTTAACAAATGCAGAGCAAAAGCCAATAAAGGAAGATATTGTTTCCTAAATATTTAAATTGCAATGATTATAAGTGTGGCATAGCTTGTTCTTTCCAGTTTCCCACATAGTGAAGGGGGAAGGTCACCCCTTACCATGTCTTGGCTATGAGTCATCTCAGAGTGCTGAAATAATATTGAGTATTTACATGGCATTTTCCAACTTCAAAGCTAATTAAATCAGTCAGCTCCCTTTTGAATCAGGCAAATAGCATGATTATTCATCTTTTGCAGATGGGAAAAATAAGGCAGAAAGGTGAAATGATTTGCCTATAGCTGCAGAGAGAGTCAGTGTAATGTGGGATTAGAACACAGGAATGGTTGGTTTCTAATGTCACACTCAGAGTACTAGACTACAGAGCAGAGAGTGCTGTATGTTGTTTTAGGCGTATGCCTCAGGCAAGGTGTGGGCTTCTAATAGATCCTAAAGATGGTTCCTGGTGCCATTCAATATGCACTGATAAACTGTGTACACTTTAGGCACACGACTACTGGAGCTACTAGAAGTGACTGTGAGGTACCAACAGCTAAATATTACAGTGACTGGTGATATAGAGGCACATTAGAAGTTGATTGATATAATCTGTATATCTTTACTCAATTTTCTCCTCATTTTACGCTTACTGTATCATACTCTTCACAGTCAAACAAAGGGAAGGAGCCAAAAGGCACCTACCTGGGCTGTTCCAAGAAAGTGTGTCCATTACCCGTGGAAACTGCTGGGCTGGCTCATTGCTGAATAATGCTGTCACCTGTGGAATATCTGTCAGACACTGTCCAGGAGGCTAATTGGGGTGGAAGAAAGAATTCTATTAGCTAGAAGTAGCTGCCACACCCTTGTCTGAGCAGGATTAATAGTAACTGTGTGAGGCAAGATTTTTACATTTGTTCTGAGTTGTGTTTGTGCTTTCGTAGAGTTTACTCAGAACCTCACTAGGTTGCTGAACTATTAAAGATACTGTAGTGCTGTGTCTCCCGAATGGAGTCCCAGGTGCGCCAGAGCTTCCCTGCTGAATGTGAGGCTGCTGTGAACTGCATGGTAAACAAGGAGCTGTATGTCAGCTGCGTACATCAGTCCATGGTGAGTGTTTGTGTTTCTTAGCCTTTTCTTAGAGGTCTAAGGCTTTAATTTAGAAATGCTTGTGGACTTTTATTTTTTGGTGGTGGTGTTTTTGTTTGTTTGTTTGGTGGAGGGGAGAAGAACTACTGGCTGATATCTTATCCAGAGACTATAGTAATGCATTAAGTTGGAGGTACAAATACTACTGTGAAAATAATGGGGAGTTATTCAGGATGCTGTGGCTACAGAATGGCTTGGGCTAAAGGCCTATGTGTGGGGGACAGAAACTTGAGGATTTTGAAGCACTGCTGCAGAAGCAGCAGGAAGGAAGGTGCTCTCATAGGAGTTAAGAGCTAGTTACTTTGTAGGAGATATATATGTATATAAGAGGCTTTCAGCTATTGGTGGCTCCTTAACCACCCCCAGGTGTGATGTATAATCTCACTACTCTCACTTCTTGTATTTCCTCAGTCCTGCTATTTTGACGGTGCTGTTGTGGTTCTGAGGTACGTGACCCAGTTCCTGAAGGAGAAGTCCTATGAGGCAAAGGAACATACAGAGAGGGTTTTGTCACCCCACAACAAACGAGGGGGGCGTGTTGTCCTGCAGGAAGGACATCAAGGTACAAAACAAATCCATTCATGTATCCAGGAAAGGGATTATTGAAACCATATTCAGAGCTTATCTGAAAGCACTGAATCTATAATGTGAGGTTATTACTGATTTATTTATGAGCTGTTTCAATAATTTCAGTGTTTCTCCTTTTCTCTGAGTGGAGAGAAGCCTCTATTTAGTTAATCCATCTGTTAATACATATTCTGTAACTTGGAACTGGAACACTAAGGGGTGCTGTGGATCTGCATTTAAAAATTGTGTGGGAAGCCTGTACATCTTTTTCCTGCAATATGCTTAGCTGTAGTCCGTGATCTTGCTGCTTCCTCTACAATAGTATTGATAAACACAAATAGAGTTAATTCTGTTCTAAAGGCTCCTGTATACTCAGGGCTGCCTGAAGAAAGGCTGCTAGCAGTAAAGTGGACAACTTCACCCAATACTGGTGGGCTGAGGGACCTTATGGCAGACTCAGCAGGCATAGCTGTTCAGATGAGCCTCAAAATACAAACTCAGTCTGCCTGATGCATCTTAAATCATTCCTCACTGCTATGTTTTTTCACTTATGTTTGTGCCATACCACTACTCCCCCTTTCCTGGAGGAGGTGGCAGCCTGCTCCTTTGTATTACTTCTGCAGTCTGCCTTGTGTGGCAGGGGAAGGGAGAGTGGGTGAGTGGAATACTTCAAGGGAGCTCTCAGCGCTGTTCCCTCCTCCTGAGAACAGAGGACTAATCTAAGTGCCCCTTGTTACTTTCCTTGGAGCCTACCTATTTCTCCTGCAAAGTATATGAGTCCCCCTGCAGAGTCCCTATGATCCTCATGAAGGTGAGGTCTACTAGTGCATATATATATATATATAAATAATATGCATTTTTGGTTTGTTTTTTCCTCATGCAGAAGCCAGAGCGGGATGAGTGGGGGAACAGCCTGGAGGCCCTGCAATGTGACCTGCAGCTGGAGAAGACTGTGAACCAGGCCCTGTTGGACCTGCAGAAGCTGGCTATGGAGAAGAGTGATTCCTGTGTGAGTAATCATGCCGCTGCCCTCAAATCCTGCTTGTGGAGATGTTAAGGCATTTGTGAACTCAAAGTTTAATGCTCCATGTTCGCCTAACTCTCTGGCTGAGTGGACACAAGGAAAAACATTAATCAATGTTGAGCCATAGCAGTGGCTTAGTGCCTTCTAAGCTAGGCATATGGTGCCTGTAACTTATCCTGTCCTTAATAGCCCTCATGATTGCTAGCAACTGAACTGAGAGCATGAGCTTTGCTAGATCCCCAAGCTACCTGTCATGGATTAATTGGCACCTACTATAAGCGATTGCTGGGTCTTAAGTAGATTGCAGAGGATAGTCTAGTTACCTTGCTGGTTTGATATGGTAAAAGGACAGTAGCTTCCTTTTTGATTCAGGGACTGTTGTGTATAAGCCAATCACTGAAGCTAATAAACAAGCTTCTGGAGAGTGTAGTTGAACTGAACTTATCCCTGGTGTAACTTTGCTAAAAAATATGCTAACTAGGGGCCATTCGGGACCACTATATAAACCTGGGAACCAACGTTATCCCACCTAAAATGTTGGCCATGTTTACACAGCAATGGAAAATGCTGCTTTCTGAAAAACAAAAGTCAGCATCTTGTTAATTGCTAATAAGAAACAGAAAATACTAGTCCTCTGCAAACTTCCCCTAAATCCATACAAAAACTACTTTAACTCTTACGAAATGATTCGGGCCCTACCAAATTTGTGGTCCATTTTGGTCAATTTCATGGTCATAGGATTTTAAAAATCATAAATTTCATGATTTCAGCTATTTAAAGCTGAAATTTCATGGTGTTGTAATTGTAGGGGTCCTAACACAAAAAAGGTAGGGGTGTGTGTGCTTGGGGCGGGGGGTTTGCAGTACTGCTACCCTTACTTCCGCCTTCATAGTTGGGCAGTTGGAGAGCGGTGGCTGCTGGCCGGGAGCCCAGCTCTGAAGGCAGAGCCGCTGCCAGCAGCAGCGCAGAAGTAAGGGTGCCATGGTATTCTCCTCCTCACTTTGCCACCGCTGCTGGTGAAGCACTGTCTTCAGAGCTGGGCACCTGACCAACAGCTGCTGGTCTCCAGCCGCCCAGTTTTGAAGGCAGCACAGAAGCAAGGGTGACAATACTGCGATTTCCCCTTAAAATAACCTTTTGTGACCCCCCCCCCCCCAACTCGCTCTTTGGTTCAGGAACCCCAATCTGAGAAATGCTGTTCTTCCCCCGTGAAATCTGGATAGTATTGGTTAAAGCACACAAGACTAGATTTCACGGCCCAGGATGGGGGGGGGGGGTTCATGGCCACGAATTTGGTATGGCCCTAATAATCTGTCCCCTTGCTTGCACTGTCTGTGTAGCAAATAAGGAAGGCTCTAAACTTTGTGCCGTGAACACTTGGAAACATCGCTATTATCAGATTTGACCATAAGAATGACCTAAGTGGATTAGGCCAATGGTCCATCTACCGCAGTATTCTGTCTCTGACAGCAGAGTTTCTCAGATGATTGAGAGGGAATGAACAAAACAGGGCAACTTTGTGTCATCTGTCCCTTGTTGTCCAGTCCCAGCTTATGGTAGTTGGAGGTCTAGGGACACCGTGGCTAGGTGTCATGCTTTACCATAGCAGGCAGTTAAATGTGCTAAACCAACAGTAATGTGAAGCAGAAGTGAGTCCATCTCTTCTTTCCTGCAGCTCTGTGACTTCCCAGACTCTGAGTACCTGGAGAAGCAGGTGAAGGCCATCAAGCAACTGGGAGACCACCTCACCAACCTGAAGCACCTGGGAGTGCCCCAGAATGCCATGGGAGAGTACCTGTTTGACAAGCTCACCCTGGGGGAGAGCAGCTGAACTCTTCACTACTTTTATCCTTCAGTAAGAACCCTGGACCTCTCCTCTAGAAGACAGCAAAAGATCCATTGCCTAACCCCTCAGTATGGTGAATAAAATTTGGCTTCAAGCTATTACTTGGTTTCCTCATTGTTAAATTTAATATACGATGAAAAGTCTAACCGGCTGTTACAGGGCCTAAAACAGTGTCATTGACTCTTCCTCCTGCACTTCCCACATGCAAAAGTCCAGTTGTGACAAATACACTCTAAAGCATATGGCCATGGCCACTGTAAGAGGCAATATAACGAGCAAAGACATTTTGGGTCTGCTGTGCTACAACACCATTTTCGGTCCTGTTCACCACAGCAGGAGTTGCCTAGTACCAAAGCAAAGAGGCTTGGTGTAGTGTCTGCTAGGCAGTAGGGAAAATGAGTAGAACGTGTTATGTTCCTCAAATAGTAGGAGGCATGGGGGGATGCTTTAGGGAGTGCCCAGTTAGATATGCTGGAGGTCCAGCCAATCTAAGTCTCTTCTCTCAGCTGCTAGTGCTGCTAAGACTGACTAGATGGCCATGCTGAATGGCTTAGCTTAGGTAGCAAGGGATACCCCAGAAAAGATTTGATACTAATAGAATGAAAATCTTCTGTGGGTGTACATGAACAGCAGGACTCTGCATATTGATTCATGGTGAGCAACGAAGCCTGAAGTAAAATATAAGGCTTGATCAGATTTCCCAAATTTAGACCCTATTTTGAGTGGAAGGAGGGAAGCTAATGAATAATGGGATTCTTTTATGGGGAAAGGGGAATCAAAGTGCAATGTTTAATTAAATTAACTAGATGTGCCGCAGGTCAGTCTTCCTGGATGGTTTTTAGATGGAAATTACCTTTTCACATTTAATCCAGGTTTCATTTTCTGACTACTTGAAACTGTGATGGGGATGGGTTGGAGGGGGAGAACCAGTTTACTTTAGAGCCACTTTCGTGCCTGGGGCTTTCTCCCCAGGCTTTCTCCTCCCCATACAAAAAAACCCACCTTGAAATGAAACAAATACACTTGCACAATACCCTGTAAAATGGTTCCCCCTTTTTAGAAGGGTGATGGGGAATCAAGTTTCCTAGGAGTTACTTATAAGCTCAAGAAGTCCAAAAAGACTGACATCTGATACAGTGCATGTCATGACTGCATAATGCAGTACTGTCTAAAACCTCATGGTAGTTTGAGTGCTAATCCCTCTAACTCCGGCCAAAGAGCAGCATTCCCCTGGCTTTTTTGCTCTCTGTTCTGAAGTTGACAATGGAACACTTCCTCATCCTGTCTCCTGGTGACTTGACTATAATGATCAGAAAACACTGGGTACGTCAAACTTGTCCTGTCCACATATGGACAGAGATTGGACACTCTTGCCAAAATAACATTCTTGACCAGCTCTACTCTGACTGCAGGAGCATATCTCCATAGTAGCCTTGGCCTGAACCCTGCTCTCTGTGGAGTGTCACTATGGCAACAGGCCTTCCATCTCTCCGATATAGCTGCATGCACAGCCAGAGGGGAAACGCACAAATGGTGGTGTCCCGATCCAGGCTGCAGAGAAACTGAGATGCCTAATAACTATAATCTCTCAGCTTAATGTCCTAAATGTGGGCCACTTAATCCTCACTTCTCCAGCCCCCATCCCTTGCTTTAGTCTGTGTTGGTCTTATGACCATGTTTGTATAGGCTGATTAGTGTTTGCCATAGTGATGCTTCCGTTCAGGTGCCTTCCTACAAAACCCAAATGCTTCCTGGTGAAATAATATAACCATTCCAGCTGCTGGTGGGGAACGGTTGATAAGCAGCATAGTGTGGGCATTTTCATAGGTGGTGGAAACTATGCACTGTTGTGCACTGTGTAAGTAGCTAGCAAATGGAGTTTATTAACTTGCAGTGAGACTAAAGACTTGTTCTGGCTGTCTCACTTTTATTTTGTGGGCCCTTTTCTCTATGCACAATCCATTCCCATCCACTACCCAAACATGCAGCACTAACTAATCCAAACAAAGGGATTTCTATGGGCTGGACAGTAATAGCTCGTCAGGCCATAGCTGCCCCTACAGAACCCAGGTTCAAGGGTTTTCTCTGACTATGAAGCTACTGACAATGGCAGACGGGATTTTGTCTGTTCCATAGTGAGTGGTTCTTTTTCCTACTCTTCAGGCTTTGCAATGAAAGCCCCCCAACAGTTCTCTTCCCCACCCTCGGTTATATCTGCTGGGGTCAGAATTACAAACCTTTAATCAAACGTAACAAAATGTCACTTGTGTAACACTTGATAGCATATTGTGAACGTTAAACTTGAGGGCAACTACTCGTGGGCTCTTAGGAAGAACCATTCCCACAGCCTTGAATGTCAACAATGCTGGAGTTATGGAACAAATCTTGCTGGAGTATATCAATGACAGGAGATTGGTTAGGAAGGCTGGAGACTTATATTATTTATGGTAAAAAGAAAAGGAGTACTTGTGGCACCTTAGAGACTAACCAATTTATTTGAGCATGAGCTTTCGTGAGCTACAGCTCACTTCATCGGATGCATCCGAAAAGCTCATGCTCAAATAAATTGGTTAGTATCTAAGGTGCCACAAGTACTCCTTTTCTTTTTGCAAAGACAGACTCTGTTACTCTGAAACCTGTCATTATTTATGGTATAAACGAATATGCTTCCTTAAGTGTTTTTGTTCCTCTGTTATAGGTATAGCTCAGGGGTTCTCAGACTTTTGTACTGGTGACCCCTTTCACACAGCAAGCTTCTGAGTGTGACACCCCCCCCCAATACATTAAAAACACTTTTAAAAAATATATTTAACACCATTATAAATGCTGGAGACGAAGCGGGGTTGGGGGTGGAGGCTGACAGTTCGTGACCCCCCATGTAATAATAACCTTGCAACCCCCTGTGGGGTCCTGACCCCCAGTTTGAGAACCCCTGGTATAGCTGCTACCTAGATCCTTATCTTCTATTGGGGTATAGTCTCCTAAAAGTAAGACTTCTTCATTAGTCTCCTGTCCTTTTTTCTAGTTCTGCTACTTTGACTGTGGTGATGTGGCCTGAGGCACATGGCCAAGCTCATGAAGGAGTTGCTGTGTGAGGAGATGGAGCATACAGAGATGTTCCTGAGGTACCAGAACAAAGGAGGAGGAAGGTGCATTGTTCTGTAAGACATCAAGGTGAGCAATAAATCTAATCAAATGGCTGAGGCTGCTGGAGCAAAGACTTGAGGCAATGGGTTTTGCTTTCCCAATGCTGGAGTATATGGGGTGATGATTGTATCAGAGAGTCTCACAAGCATATGAATAACTTTTTGTTCCTCTTATTAATTTGGTAGTAACTGTTCTCATGACAGTTCTACCCAAAAGGGTGGCTCTCTCTAAATCTATTATCTCTGAGATTTTCACTATCTTGAAAGGCAGAGATATTGGTATCTCCACTCTTCTAATAAGACTTTCATCATCTTGCTAAAGTCTCATGAAAATAGGTGTTCTTGATTGTGGTTCTGAGGTGGGGTGGGGTGGGGGGCAGGAGGAGAAACAGATCCAATAGTTCCGATTGTAGGCCTGATTTTAGCCCTTTTCTGTTTGTTCCTGCATGGCCATTCCCTATAATTTAAAAATAAAACTACATAGTCTTTGGGTTACTTGTACCAGGCCTTAATGTACAAAACCATTTTAGAGCTCACATGGAATAGAAGCTGTGGTAAACAACAATAAAAATGGTTAGAAAGGGGCAGAAAAATCAAATGCCTATATATTTCCTTTGGGATGTTTACTATAAAGAAGATAGTATATTGACTTTAGTTAGCAGATGGATATAGTTAGAGGTCTTCTCAAGCTGACCATTGAACAGAGGCCATTGACCGGCTCAGAATTATTTAACTATTTTCTCTATCTAGCTTTGTTCATATACATTTTTTTCTCTTTCTCACTAAATAAAAGAAGATAAATTTAAACAAATGGCTATTTAAGGTCCTGACCTAAGAACTAGCTGTAATATAGATTCTGACTCCAGTCGTGCTGACAATTTTAACACCGTCACTTTCTTGATTGTTTGAATGGTCTTTGAGATCCATGCTTAAAAAGCCAGTTGTGACATTGAGACCATGACAGCTTTGTGGCTTATTAAAAAGCCAGGTGCAATGAAGTTGCTTAACTACACAATCTTCTCAGGGGGAGAAAATACAAGAGGGAACAAAGCAGTGTACATTTTTCTTTCTTCCAGAAAATGTAAATATTTATTGAAATGAAGAAAAGAGAACCATAGAGCTGTGCCAAACACAACAGATAATTGTTTTCTGTTCAAATGCAGCCTCTGTCTCTAAATAGGAGTAGTTGGCATACTACCTGCTTGCTAAGGAATAGCTACTCCCACCAAGTATTGTGGATATGAATACAAGAAGCACTTGGCTTCCTGTTATTTGTTAGATATATTTTTGGCTTTGCAGCATTATAGTTTTTACAATTTTTTAAGGTAGTTTTGCAAGAAGGTGCTTGGTTCACTGTCCTGTGAACTGGTCTTTTGTTCGGTATCGCACGTGCAGTTGGATTGCAAGTTCCCCTATGTGGTGCTGGCAGTGTGGTTCACACCTGACCTGATACAGCTACGTCAGCCGGGGAGAAGGTAGTTCAATCTGTGTCTACACTGTCCAGGGCGTTTCTTTTGAGACTGGCAACGAGGTTGCCAATTGTGGCACTCAGTATGATACAGACACTCTTCTACCGTGGACTGTATTAACACCTCTGACTCACTCCAGGTAGGCCATCAGAAGGTACAACTATTGATTACTGTTGACCTGGATTGGGATTTGTCGCTCTGTTCCATTATCTATCCCCTAAGCAACCAAATCCTCTGTAGTATCTATCTAAAGATATTTAGGGGTGTATTCTGATGGATACGTGGGGAATATGTGTCAATTGGCCAACAGTATTTTTCCTTTAGCAAGGAAATTTGAAAGCAAATTGTTTCCAACCACAGTAGTTAAACTGCATCAGAATGCAATCTGTGAAAAGGAACAGATGTAAGTGATTAAAAGAGAAAGACATAACAGATTTTGTGGTTTGAAATCTGCTCTGTTTTGTTAGAACTTGCTTGAAAATA